TATAGATATATATATGTTACTACCTCGTTTTACATTAGCAGAAGTGTAATGGCATAAAACAACCAACACACCCAAGGCCATGGTTAGGAAGTAAGTACTGGTACAAGTACGGTGAAAGAGAAGGGTGGCTCAGTACAGTACCATGTGCACGGACGGGTTATGGATTGAGACTTGCAGGGGTTCATGCAGGGCTGCCCCGCGCCAACTTTTGACTAGCGTGGGGGTCATGTCACAGATTTCCGTACGAAGGCTGTATGTATCACCAAGGACACACACGACACACCACACACGTCACCATCCACCCCCACGGAACACCTTCCTCGGCTTTCTTGTACGGCATCTCATATGCCCTTGCCGAGACGTCGGGCTTTGACGGCCACTATTGTGAGCGGTGTGTACTCCGTACAGTACTTGCACGACTAAGGCAAGTAAGTCAAGTAAGTCTAGTCTAGTCTTGTCATACAGTACGGAGATACTTCTAGTAACGATGGAAGTCGGATCCTGTAACCGCCGCTGAACATGCCTCAACCTTGTTGGCATCTACTGGTCCTGCACCAGCAAAGCACTTGCATTATGCAGCTTCTGTTTGTGGAGAAGAAAAGTTTAAAATTGAGGGGTACTGTAGTGTACGGAGGTAGCGTCTGGAGATAAACTTCACCTTACTCCGTATGGACTTTTGCAAGGACCTGCAGGACCTGCAGGACCGCTTTTAGGAATTCGATACTTGACAAAGTTAAGTACCTACTGTAGGTACTCAACCACTTATTCGACAAGCGCCTTCTTGGATAAATATCTTGCATGTCATATCTGGTCGACCAGTCAACTTCGGAGCTGGACCCGTACCCTTGGCCGTAGCCAGAGCACCCGTCACACCACCTTGCAAGATATGTATATCAGTCGCAGCAGGTATCATATGGAATCCATGGTCAGCAAAAAGGTTTCCCTGGTCACCATTTGAACAGAATATCCCAGCTTTCTTCCCTGCTGCATTCACTGCCTTCAAGATCTTGGTCGTTGCAGCTTTCAAATCATCGTGCATCGTCCCGTCCAGAATTGGGTGGCCTACGTTATTACCCAGGTCAAACGGGCCCACAAATAGAACATCTATACCAGGAACAGCAGCGATTGCGTCGACATTTTCAAGTGCCCCTTTGGTCTCGATCTGGACAATTGTGAGAATGGCGTCGTTTGCCTGCTGGAGATACTCAGCGGCACCCATCGATGGATCGAAACGTTCTTGCGGAAAAGGACCACCGAATCCACGAACCCCATGTGGAGGAAACTTCGCGCTAAGTACCAGCCTCTTCGCATCCTCGACTGTGTATAGGAGGGACACAAGGACCGCGTGAGCACCGCAGTCCAAAGCACCTTAGGTATGTGAGCTTTGAAAGGTCTGGCTCGGTGGGGAAACCTACGTTTGACCATACAGCCCTGGTTATCAGGAATTCGTACGACAGGAGAAACACCACAAGCTGCTATAGCTGGAACTGCTTCGTGCATTGCTGCATCTAGACATCCGGTATTGTTAGGATCCTGTGAAAGCAGTTGTAGGATTGATCAAAGGGTTGGTGGATTCGCATTCAGTTCCATCTGATAGGACGTCAAGACCTGGATTCCATCTTGCATACACCAGACTCAAAGCAAAGTTCAAACCGACTAGGCGTCAAGTATACTTCTATTGCTGAACCATTCCTCCGCCGAGTCAAAGTATAACTCGGTCTTGCCGAGTGCCATCTTCAGACATGTTGATCGCGGCTTCGACACTGGCCGTGGAGTAGAAGATTTATGCCTATTCAAGGGAATATCTCCTTACCGTCCATGTTCCCATCTGAAAAGGATCAGCATTACCTTCAATCTAGATATCCCCTCCCAAACTACATCGTCCCTTTGTGGTTGTTGCCACTTGAGATTGGAGAACGGGTCTAGTAGACTTACGTTCACAATCGACCACCACAAAATCTACCCCGGTTCTTGCCAGTGCGTTTGTATGTTCCTCTCCTTACAGCGAAAGTCGAGTTGAGGGATCGAAAAGAGATCTCCAGCGACTGCCTTGTCCAGCTCCGAAGCAGAAATTGATGGTGATTCATTTTGTCACCCTAACCCCCATCAACTCCAGCCAACCTCAAGAGCGACGCCATCACGTGAATAAGCTGCGAACCTCCTATCCTGGACACCTGCAACTGGACGAAATCTTTCAAGTAGGTAGTTCTTATCTCGATAGTATTGACAGAGAAGGATGGAGACAGGAATATAAGTGTTGCTTTTCCTCGAAAATCAGGCGAGACTCGTCTGTAGAACTGGTATATGAGAGACAACCCCACCCCGTACGGAAAGAAGATACTTCCACGATGAGAAAAAGGGGCGCCTTTTAGACTTGGGATATAAGCCTAATATCTTATATGCTCAAGATAACATCAATCAGTCTTCCCGAGCTTCGACAGCATCCATCTTTTCAGTCACTTGCTCTGGTGAGAATCTATGCATGAGCTTCTGGGCCTGAGATGAAAACGATGGAAGCTCTTCTGGCTTCTTTGAGCTACTAATGTGAATCTGTTGAGATTAGCATCATGCCGTTTGAACCCTCTAGGAAAGAACTGACCACAGGAGTATCAAACTCATATAAATCTCGCCAGCCCTTTGCTTCTGGGGTCATGACATCGATTTCCTTGTAAATGAATGGTCTCTTGTCCCAGACTGTAGATAGATTCTGCTTGGCATTGGTACACAAGGAGCAGTTCTGTCGAGTGAAAAGCGTGATTCGAAGCGCGTGTTGATATTGAAGTAGTCTTGCTGTGGGACGCATTTTTGCAGAATTTGAGTTCGTTGAAAGAGATGTATGAAGCTCTTCGTGTTGATTATCCGTCTCTGCATAAGACTTTAACGTAGCTGTAGGACCTCGTATGAAATATTATGGCGAGGAAGTCTGTAGACAAAGCTTCAAGTGTCCCTGTAGATCATCACTCAGTGTATTTATTCTGGGCCCGAGAATCAGCCGAAAGGGCATATATTCGGAGGGATTCTAGAACAACAACATTTTAGCCTTTGCAACTTTCAGTGCCAGGGAATATAAGATCTAGCAACTGTCAACTGCTTTTCCACTACCACCAGCTCAAGATGGCGCAAAAATGTGTGCACCAGTCTTGTGGCAAGATGTATAGCGATCCTGACGAAGACTGCTTCTACCATTCCGGCCCACCAATCTTTCATGAAGGACAGAAAGGTAAGAGCTTACACAATAGCAAAGATACTATTATTATAGTGACTTGGAACTAATATGTTATTTTCTCCAGGTTGGAAATGCTGCAAACCACGCGTCCTAACCTTTGACGAATTCCTCAGTATCGAACCATGCACAAAAGGCAAGCACAGCACCACCGACCTGCCCCCAACCATCGAGAAGAAGCAGGGCGAAATGGCAGGAAGCGCGATTCCCGCCACCAAGCCAGTTCCCCCAGCTCCTTCACGAGCACCTATTTCTGTCCCGGAGCCTGCAGCTACCCCGCCTCCTCCCCCACCAGAGTCAGAAGATGACGATCCTAGCCTCGAGATCCCAAAGGGCAAGACTTGTAGACGGAAGGCATGTGGATATCAATATACGGGCGGTGAGAGGGGAGCAGAGAAATGCGTTTTCCATCCTGGGGCTCCGATTTTTCACGAGGGTAGTAAAGGCTATACTTGCTGCAAGCGGAGGGTTTTGGAGTTTGATGAGTTTATGAAGATAGAGGGTTGCAAGACGAAGGATAGACATTTGTTTGTCGGCAGTGGGAATAAGAATAAGGGTGGTAATGCTGGCGGGGAGGAGCTATTAGAGACGGTTAGGTATGTTCCCTGCACACTGGAAGTCAAGCAGATGAAACTAATCGTAATTGTTTACAGACATGACTACTATCAAACAGGCACAACCGTAACCGCGTCTTTCTTCCTTAAGAAGATTGACAAGGACAAAGCTTTGGTTGAATTCCGCCCTACTGAGCTCTCTCTCGACCTCCCCACAACAGACACCCCTCCTAAGCGGTACAAAGCCGTAGTGCCTCTCTTTGGTTCGATCGATCCAGCTGCTTCATCATTTAGGATCGTGCCAACGAAACTGGAGGTTACTCTGGCGAAGACTGATGGGAAAGGGTGGGCGAATCTGAGGAGTGATGAGCGGTTAACGGGTGAGATTATTCAGACTGGCAAAGCCGGCAGAGCATAATTCCCTCTAGCACCAAAAAAAATAGATGATATATATCAAACGATTCAGCACCATTGTGTACTGCCATACCTCACGGCCTGATGCATAACGGATAACTATTGGCATGATCTTGCTGATGCTGCTCGCTCCGACCAAATTCTGACTCTAAATGTCTCAAAATCTCATGAGGCATTAAGGATTGCTTTGTTCTGTGACGTACTCCAAGGGTAAGGGTGTTAAATTTTCAGTCACTTATTACTATGAGGATCTGTAGCATCTTCATTGCCACTTTGTCGACTAGATGGTTGGATCGGCTCTAGAATGTACCGGACTGCTGCTTACGATTGGGTATTTTACTAAGATCTGTCGCGGAGTAGCCCTATGATTTCAGCTCCCCTCGAAGGTTACGTGGTATCTTTGGGTGTATATTGATGAGCTCCGTCGGCAGTGCTGATGCACATCGGCTTTCTGTTCCCAAGCTTGAAGAAGTTGAGGTAGGGTTCTGACTAGATATCTTCGTAAGCTTAGCATGTTGACTTCAAGAAAAATCTTACATCCATGAAACCGGTAGCAAATGGACATGACTATATGCACATATTTGGCATTAAGGGCCGTGGAAGGCAGCTCCGGTAATGGCAATAATTTAAGAACAACCATACAAAGAACGGAATGAATAATGATATTGGAAGCACATAACAAGGTCTATTTTCACCGAAAGAATGAGACTTACTTGTACTATTTAGTGACATTTAAGAGGAACCATAGTGGAAAACACGACACAGCAATTACCCCAACCATTGTCCGCTCACTCAGCTGACCATGCCAATTCCATGGGTATACTAGATTTATCTTGATGAGACATGCGGCCCTGGTTCTCAATGTCCTACCCTGAGTGGGATATAGAAAGGTATAATGATCAGTGCCGCTTTGCAGGTCTGACATGGTCTGTTGGAAATGCGGTTGAAGTTTTGAACGGATATATAATAGCGTGATATGCTAACACCTACAGAATTTTGTACTTCCTACTCCATTCCTTCCATCAATGAGGTACGATCGAGGATCATTCCCTTCAAGCCAATCCATTCCCTCAAAGCTTCCCATTCTTCGCCTTCTTCCTCCCCTCTTTGCCAGACCTCCCGAAATCCCCAAGCGCCAGCAATCCTATCAATCGCTGCACGCTCTTCTTCCCGAATCCATCGTTGATTTAGAGGAAGCCCTGGAGTCCAGGTTACGCGATCCATTTGATCATTCGCCGTTGTGACAGCGACAATTCCAATAGTACCAGTAAACCCAACGTAGGCTAGCAAACCCGCAAATACAACATTTGTAGCCATAGTGGTCTCCATCGTAGTTTGCATAAGTGCTATTTGTGATGCTAGAGTGTACGCCGCAAGTGGAAAAATCGCTACACCTGTTGCAGGAAGGAGTCCTTTGCGTACGAATTTGGCGCGGCGGAATGCTTTCGTGGCGTATGAGAATTCGACGATATCCATCGCTACAACCAATTGTTTGGCTTCAATAGCGGTTTGGAGAGCAAGATCCGCAACATTTTGAGGAATTGCGTTAGCAACTTTGTTTGGATTCTGACTCAGATACCGAATTGGAGATGAACCTTCTTCTGGTACTGGTTTGTTTGCGTATAGATTGAACGCCTGGGGGAAGGTTTCCGGCCTTTTCAAAGTTGCCTGAACGCGTACATACAAAGCTAAGATTTTTGGCGTTATGAAGACCGGAGGATGTGTGATAATAGAAAAGGCAAGATTCGATAAATCATTTTGTATGCTTTTGGTTGCAGGCGGCAACTTTAGGGATCGACCACTCTTTAAGGCTGTATCGTCCAGGGAGAGTAGGGCTGATGCTGCACGGTATTTCTTGTCCAACGAAACCGTTTCGACAAGAGTATTTGCCAATATATCACACTGCTCCAATGCTTGGAGGGCCTTCTGCTCCGAAGGTATCCTGTCCAGACTCAAGAGAGAATCTACAGTCAATCTTACTTCCTCGAATGCCTTGTCAAGGTCGGCCTTGGTCGTATGCCCATCCACGGCCTTCCTTGCAGCATCTAAAATCTGCGTAGTCTTCCTGCTTGTAATCTCTGGCCGCCCTTGAGGTTGTTGGACTGTTTGAGAGTATGCTCGCCGGGAGCTGGGGAAGGTTGCCCGGACAGTATTCAAGGACTTTTGTGTTCGGATTGGTCGTCTCGAAAGAGATTGCCGGGATATCACGAAGTCGCAGAGATGGCATATATCCGCCCGGGGTCGTAGAGTGCATTTGGACATTGTTTGAGGAGTTCGGAATCTCGAATGACAATCAATGGCTGACTGTCGTTCGATATTGTGAGGTTTAGCTATTCCCTGAGCTCCACCTCCACTCACTCCACAGCTCTTGTCCTGCACGCTGACTAAACTTGAGGCTGAGCCAAGTGACGACAGTAACAGGTCGCGAGTTGAGGACATTTGAAATTCTAGGCAACTCAATATCTTTGCTGTTTGAAAAGGACCACGAATTTTCCTGACCTGACCGGGGTGATTGTATATTGGGTTTACTTTTGTCATTCTGTCATTTCTCTTATGGTGCAACAATAACAAATAACCCTCCTTCCCGACTTCCTCCCCGATTACCTCTTATTTTACCAGTCAATAACTACGACTGCATCAACAACATTCATTCGACTACATAAAATACTCACCATGCCTCCACCTCCTCCTCCTCCTCCACCTCCCCCACCAATGATGGGAGGCCCACCGCCCCCGCCTCCACCACCGCCAGGAGGGTCGAGACCCCCAGCTGGGAACAGGGTGAAGCCCCCATCAACCGTAGCTATGCCTGGAGACTTCCTGGGCTTAGAAGTCTCTTCATGTTGCTAACATATTCGCAGGGAGCCTTACTTTCAGATATCTCCAAGGGAAAAGCACTCAAGAAAACAGTCACAAATGATCGTTCGGCACCGATATTAGGGGCAGTCTCAGGAGGTTCAGGACCATCACCATTAGGGGGAGCCCCTGCTGTTCCGGGAGCGCCACGACCCCCCGGAGGACTCGCACCACCGGTTCCTGGAAATAGAGCTCGGAGCAACAGCGATCAAAGTAGTGCAGGAGCTCCTGCGATGGAACAACCACCGCAGTTGGGCGGGCTTTTTGCTGGAGGGATGCCGAAATTGAAGAAGCGCGGAGGAGGTATTGAGACAGGAGGTTAGCTAGACATCTGACTGTGCGTGAAGCTCCTGGCTAATATTATCCCAGCAAATCGCGAGTCTTCCTATACCTCGGATCCGGAGTCATCACGAAGTTCAGCACCCAAACCTCCTGCTATGGCAGCACCCAAACCGCCCACAGGACCACCTCCTAGACCAGCACAAAGTGCGCCAGGTCCTCCCGCTTTCAATCCTTCAATAGCAAATCTACGGAAAACTCCTGGACTCAATGCACAAAGACCAATGTCTTCTGCCTCTATGAAAGGACCTCCTCCACCAATAGGGAAGAAACCTCCGGCTCGCCCAGGCATGAGAAAGCCTTCTGCTCCACCTCCACAGGCACCTCAAGCACCTCCACCTCCACCATCTTCCGCTCCACCTCCACCAGCAGCCCCTCCTCCATCGGCTCCTAGACCACCCATTGGACATGCGTCTCGCTCACAACCACCCCCACCACCTCCACCTCCGACTTCACCACCTACCAATGGAGCTGGTCAAAGCCTGGCTATGCAAGCAGCTATACGAGCAGCAGCACAAGCATCACCAGCCGCTGCACCGCCACCACCACCTCCTCCACCCTCATCGACCCCATCATTCCGCGCGCCCTCACCTCCAACATCAGCACCACCCCCACCAAGTGCAAGGCCGCCTCCTGCTCAGCAGCCAGTCAGATCTCCTCCTGCCCAGCAACCTATCAGATCAATGTTAGATCCAAGTTCTTACACATTATCCTCGAATGGTAGTCTTCCTAAAAGCCCCAGTCCGAGCAGGACATCGGAACCAACACGGAATGTGGTCATAAATGACTCAAGATGGAAATTCCAGGATGAAAAAATACTGCCGAAGCCGAGGGACTTTATTAGAGGGCCAAAGAAATACAGAGCAGGTCGTGGAAGTAGTGTGCCATTGGATTTAAGTGCTTTTCACTGAGGATTGCATGTAGACGCAGACGATGATATCCTGGAGACTGGAGGCACTACTAAGTGAGTAATAGTGGAAGAGGAGAATGTCTCACATCCCTTGAAATACACTTATGTCGGTTCAGATCACGGGTGGTGCCTTGCGGGGTTGAGGGTAGTTTGTGGTCAAAAGTAAGAGGCCTGGGAGTTGCGGCTATGATTTATGGGATAGGCATAGGATCGACTCCCGTGTGCTTCTGGCTGCGAATCAGACTCTGAATGTCTCAAGT